AATAATAGAAAGAATGAAATTATATCCTTATTTCTAGTAATTTAAGAATAGATTTATCTTTCCAATTGATATATCAAAATCGTTTTTTTTGTAAATTAAACTATTAAACCTATATTTAATAAAAAGATAAATAATAAAACAAATTTAAAATAATTAAAATATTTTGATAAATATATTAAAAACTAAAGAAAGAATAAATATTGAATATTAATATTAAATAGATATAAAAACTATAAATCAAAAGCTTTTCAAATATATTATAAAAAGAATAATATTATATATTTAAATTTATTATTATATTCAAATTAATAGATTTATTAGAATATATATTAATTATATTTCAAAAATTAATTTTTTTATAGTTTTTAAAACTATATATAAAGAATCAATTACTTTTCAGAATATAAAATTAAAATTTCAAAGAATAAATTTAATCCTATTTAATTCTAAAATTATATTCTCGAAATTAGATATTTGAATTTGTATACTTATTTCCCTCCTTTTTGATTTAAATTAATAGATCTCTTAAACCCTTTATAATCCAATTAAAGCTTTTTCTCAATTAATATTAATTAAATCTTAAATAGCTTATTATTATTCAAACTCCTTTATATCTATATTTGAGATTATATTAATTTTAGCTAAAGATATAAAAAGATTAGTTTATAAAAATATACTTTTGAATATAGAGATTTATATACTTCAAAAAGCAAATAAGATATTAAATAAATATTAATATACAAAAAAAACTTAAATATATTAAAAAGAAATATTCATCAAACAAAAAAGCTTTTGATATATTATTTTAATAAAAGATCGATATTCAAATTCAATATAATAAATATCAAAAAAAAGAAAAATTCTAATGAAAACCCATTTTCATTTGATATTATGATAAATATAGAAAAACAAAGTATAATATAAGAATTTATTAAAATAATATAATAGATTTTAAATTATTAGAATCTTTATAATTTCAATTGATTAATTTAGTTATTATTAAATAATATAGCTTTAGAATAATATTCGAGGTAAAAATAATCGATCTACTAATATAACCGACTCACTATTAAAGTACGTTATATCGGTAGGTATATATGCTATATACACTTGTAAGCAAGTTCACACGGATATGCACGGGCAGCATAGTAATCCGGGGTTACCCGACCAGATGTATTTTATTGTATAAGAGAAAGTCAAATATAGTACGCAACATCTACTACAGTCTAGATCTAGATGCAGCTTTCGCTTAGAAGTCAAGCTGTGGAAGCTTCGCGAAGAATATCCGTCCCCATCTTATCTCCTTCCTGCGATATGAGTTGTCCACTCCCAAAGTAGTGTTAAATTGTCGATACTGCATCTAGTCGATCAAAGGTACCAATATCAAGTGGTTGAAGGCGATGCATCTGCCGGTTTGAATTTTCAAACCATCAATCTGTTCCACGGGCGCGCTATACCACTACACCGCTGGCGGCGGTGGATAGAAAGATTTCAGCCACAGGCCGCCCTTAATTAGGACCAGGGTAAGTTTTCAAGACATTTGCCCTATAGCAGTGGGTACTTGAACAATTCTCGACATCTAGAATACTCAAGCCTCGCGGATGTTCTCCAGAGAAGGATCGTTCCGCTGTCATTTTCGTAACATATTCTTTTCAGCAGTCAAATAAATTGCCACGTCGAGATCCGAGAAACAGCATTATCGCCAATAATTACATTGTCACCGATATACGAGGCAAAATTGCTCGCGCATCAACAGTATCTACGTAACCGTTATTTATCAGCCATTAGATCATCGCTCACAACAATATATAACAATATAGACCAAAGCACAGCACGAAGTACAAATGGCACATAGATTCATCAAAATGGATTCCTATTACTACAAATTCCACCTGGACCGAAGTTTTTTTCATCCTTTCATCTCATTTTTGGAGATTTGTTTATTTATATGTATTACGGATCTTCGATGTCATCGATATCTAATTCCTGAATAAGAGAGGATTTTCACCTCGTCTTATCCGCTGTTCCGCCTATCTTATTTTCTGAAGTATAGACCCATATAAATGACGTCAGTAATGCTTGTCTAATGGAGCACCTCGGAAGTGCACAACCTTCAAAAGTGTTTGGGAAGATTATATGCACAAGAACTTTTCATAACATTTACCCGACAATACATCGATTTGATTGGCCGTTCTCTCACATCAATATCCTAATTAAAGCGTGGAGGTTAAAATCAAGCCGTTACTCAATGATACAACAATTATATAAACTATTGGTTAAGGAATTATTTTATCCGTAGAAAAATTGTTTCCAAGTTACGATACGATGCTTCCACGAGCCTTCCTTCTACTGCAATGCTAAAGGCTCTCAATGTGTTCTCTTGTAAGACCGTGGAGGACCCCACGATCTTACTCTTGCCAGCGCCGCCGTTATCAATCTTTTCTATCGTCCGTAACACTTGAATTTGATCAACACGAGTTTCGGCTTCACCGAGAAGGAGACTCTGCATACATCATTGACATTCTATGTGTGGCCTTAGTAGTTAATGAGCCCAGGTCAAAATACATGATGAATATCGCAGTTGTCATTTGGTGACACTGCAGACAGTCACGGTATATGGACGGAAAATCGGCACATGTCGGTTGGGTTGCATGTTTTTAGACCCCGAATTTTGATTCTTGGCAATAGTTTGCATAGGAAGTGTTGTCGAATCATTTGGAATAGAGGTAATAGCCCAGGCTTCAGGATCATACGAGTCCATGTTGTTTGGAATCGGGACTCGGAACACGAGATCTCTGGCGTGGGTGGGATTCGGTGGCGGGAGGGTGGAGGAACTTCCTCTGTGTCCGCATTGCATTTTATCCGAGTCAATGTACTCGGAAGAAAGCAATATGCATTAATACTTTACAAGACTCGGAATTGTCTTTTCTTTGATTGGAGTCACCGTCCAAGCTTTAATATCGTACAAGGTCTGTTATCTTTTTCGAGGATAGGACTCGGAACACAAGAACTCTTCCCCTTCCCCAGCCCTTGTCACATTACAATCAGAAACTGGGCCTCGAACATGTGCTCGGGCCATCCTCGAATGGCATTGCCTGAGAGAGCTGTCTGGGTTTCATTTATGAGAAATCTGAGAAGAGGATGAAACGAAAACATTGGTCTCTTGACACGATTTGAGCACGCATCATTATAATACTCCATTGTCATTATTAGTTTCACTGAGTAGCTACAGAGAGGGACGGCCCGCGAGCGAGTTTAGAGCGTCCGCAATCACCTGCTTTTATGAATTTGCTTGGCATTTGACGAGCTGGCGTTTCAGAATCACTGTGTTTCAGACTGACTTAGTTTATGTCAAGGTGTTCAATAGTCCGGAGTGCAGTCCAAATAAGAGCTGCTAGTACTGAAATACTGTTGACAATTGTGAATGAATTTCCGGCTCTCAAGAATCAAAACGTCCAGACGGACCAAATTATACATAGGAATTCAATATACGTTTTCTTTTCACGGCATCAAGAACCATTTACTCCCTAAATGCAGGCTGGGAAGCCCTCATCTCCTTGTCATCACTAGATATAGAGGTGTCATCTCCTTTCTTCCTTCTTCTATTGAAATATCTACATCGTTCTGATTGACTGCCGGGTGATGAATTAATGTGCAACTTTCTCACTTGCAATTCCTCAAACGTTGCCTAAAGTTGGATCTTATCAAGCAGAAAATAGCTTGATCCTTTCATTCGAGCCCTCTTTCAATATACGTGGAAGTATTGGAATATATCTCTCCGTTCAGCCGAGTATTTGCCTTGCCTAACCGATGGGCCTGGTCAATGACAGTCACGCGCAAGGAGCCAGGTGGCCACATCTAGGAGCTGCTTTGCGGCTGGATATAATATAGTGGCCCTCGATTCAACTGGGCTGCATACTTAATCCAAAGTCGAGAATACCCGGGGCTCAGGGGTCCACTTGCGAATAGAACCTTGGAGTTGGCGGCTTGATACAGTCTAGTCAACGTGAACTAACATGCATAAGAATCTACTATAGGAAGAGGACGATGGGGTAGGCCAACCTTATCGCGGGGGCTCTTTACAAATCCGCTCGCGGCTGAATTTAAGAACTTCCCGAACCGGGGAAATACGTAAGAAAGATGACCAGCAAATACTAAATAAGAGACTCTATAAGTTTCGAGAACAGCGACAGTAAATGGCAATCTCAAAAATGCGGTACGAATCTTCTATGGCTGCTGATACTAGGGATCTCAAATCCTCGATACAAACCTCGAAAGCAGTCTAAAACATGTAGGTCTCGTTATGAAGTCACTTGGACTCCAGGCGGCACAGTTTCGGGGAGGTCACCAGGGCTCATTACGAGGGTTTGGGAATTGGGAGCAATGAAGACTTCATCGAGATAGAAGAGCAACAGTGCTGCTTAGCTCTTTTTTCTACGTAAAAATCCATATGATGCTGTGAATCATCAAAAATTGAACATGATTAATGTATTGAAATCAGATTTGATATCAGGATGTTGTTCTTGTATTAATGACTAGAAGGTCATAACCGAGCGGGAGTCATGGCGTACAGGAAGAAAAATCTTTGGTTTGATATATTCGATAATTTGGTTTCAATTTCGCACGGTTAATCGTATAGATAATAAACAACAAAGTGTCATATCATTCTGTCTTCTTGTTGTTTCTTGATCCACGTTACTTACCTTTATACAGAAGTTTATATCCTCGAATTTGCGAGATTTAAACGCACCAATCTTTCCCTTTAGATGTTGCACCTGTTGTGATCATTTCACCCTATCGGCTCCTTATCGTAAGGCCCCTAAAATAAACGTCACTCCCGTACCAAGGATTTCTCCATCTTAAACATCCATCCACCTGCTGTACAACCAACCAACCTTCAAACACCAAATTTGAAAATCATTTCCTTCCTTCAAGCTTCTGCTCGACATACCAGAATAATATAAGATTCTTTAATTGTTATCTAATCCGCATCTTCAAATATGGCATCTACATCCTCGGGTTCCTCTGCATTTAATCCTTCACCTGCTGCATCGACGGCCCCCTCAACTGCCTCCGAGTCGTTACCTACATCCTCCGCGGTAGCGGAGAAACCACCAGATGATGGCTCAAAACTTAAGATGTTCTTGGGCATTCTGCGAAAGTAAGTTGATGTAATTCTGCGCATCTTTGCTAAAAGATGTTCATAAAGATCACACCGCTATCAATGCAACAAAGTGTGGCTTCAGCCTCTCAAGCAACCTGTGGACACTTCGCAGATATCTATACGTTTCGGATAGTCATGACTGACATTTCTTTCTCTTTTCTCATAGGTTTATTGGAGTGGCAGATATTGCTTCTGTTCGATTTAGTTTGCCGGCCCAGTTATTAGAACCAACGCCCAATCTCGAGTATTGGAATTACCTCGATCAACCGAATACATTTGTGGCAATAGGAGACTCGGATGATCCATTAGATAGAATGCTGGAAGTCTTGCGATTTTGGTTCACGAAGGATCTGAAATATGTGAAAGGAAAACCTTGCAAGCCATACAATTCTACTCTTGGGGAATTTTTTAGGGTAAGCAGCTGCAGCTAAATGGAAAGGTCGAAGTGGGGAATACTGATCTCTCGAACAGTGTAATTGGGAAGTCGAAGATTCACAACCAGCTATAGAGACGGGTAAATTAAGCACAACTAGTGCTTCGTCTTCGAAGAAGGCTACCCCTATGTCATCGACTAATGCGTCGAATGTCACAATTCCCAAGCCGAAATCGGGCAAAAAAGTTCGAGTATCGTATCTGACGGAACAAACTTCCCATCATCCACCCGTCTCCGCATTTTATGTCGATTGTCCGGAAAAGGGTATTTCGGCCCGGGGTTTCGATCAAATATCGGCAAAGTTCACTGGAACGAGTATTAAGGTTACGCCAGGGGAGCACAATTTGGGTATCTTCATCAATATTGAGAGGAGAGATAACGAACAATACCAGCTCACACATCCGGCCGCCCATCTTGGGGGGCTTTTGCGTGGAACTTTAAGTGTTACCGTAGGAGACCAGTGCTACATCAGTTGCGCTCAAACGAAGATCAAGACAATCTTACATTATGTTGAAGAGGGATGGTTAGGAAAGACACAGAACAAAGTGGAGGGAGTAGTATTCCGCTACGATCCAGACAATGATAATAAGACTAGGATAAAAGATGTTCCTGATAAGGATGTATTAGCAAGAGTATCTGGAAACTGGAAGGACAAGCTATACTTCAGTTTGGGGCCGAAGGGCGTAAGTATCCCATTTCATAAAATCAGACGATAGGCACTGACTGAACCTTATTAGGACAACCAAACTCTCCTAATAGATCTCGCGCCTCTTCAAGTAGCACCAAAGATTATTCCCCCAACAGAAAAACAGCTACCAAACGAATCTCTCAAGTTCTGGTCAGGCGTCACAGAAGCCATTCACGGTCGACAATTTGCCCGGGCAACAGCCCTCAAACAAGAATTAGAAGAAAGGCAAAGAGAGAAAGCTAAACAACGACAAGAACAAGGCGTTGATTGGCAACCGAGATTCTTCACAGGTTCGGTTACACCTTTAGGTAAACCGGATTTGACAGCCGATGGAAAAGAGGTTCTACAAATGTTACAGCAGGGAGAATGGGATTTGAAGGAGAATGAAGTCACAGGTGCTTAGAATGCATGCTCCGGATGAGATGTCTTTTTTCTTTCTTTCTGGTAGCTGGATTGGTCTTGGATGATACGAAAGGAAACGAGATAGCTCTTTGTTGATACTCTTGATACTTGATACGTATACACATACATTATCACATCACATACATGAATGGGAGAAGAAGGGAAAGGAGATGGCGATGTGGCATTCGTTGCTTTAGTTCGTTACTTTGTCGGATACGGGGTTCGGGGAACTTATATTTTGAGCACATAACATAGACGTTTCCTTCTGGTTGGTTGTGGAAATTGTGTAATTGGGGATAGAGAGCAGAGGGAAGAAGCGGGGAGGGCGGGGTGGGACTAGGAGTGGGAGTGGGGTTGGCATTGAGAGCGGAGGGTAGAGGTAGGCACGGAGTAGAGAGTGGAGAGCGGAGAGTAAAGGAAGAGTTTGAATATACAGTTGGGGTATACAATACACACATACACATACTATACCAGAATCATATTTTGTTATTAGGAAATTTGAGTGTTTCAAATGTTTTTGGTGTCTTTTAGTGGTTGTGATACCTTTTGTCTCGCTTTTTTTTGGCAAGGGAGTTGCAGTTACAGTTGCAGTGAAAGTAGGTAGTATGATTTTGACGATAATTTTAGGACTGGCGAGTTTTTCTATTTAGGTACGTTGATGAAAGTGGTGAGATACCACTCATTACCCGAGGAGTATACAAAGTCAAATCATTCATCTATTCTCAGGCAACTTTTCCCTCTAACTTCCATTCAGTCCAATCCCCCAAGCCTTTCCAATGCCCCCGGATTCAAATCCGTAATAAATTCCTGCAATCTCCTATTACTCAACAATACTATTGCCATTTTCTTAAACTCTATATACTTTGCTAATACTTCAATTCGATATATTACATATATAATGATATGTTCGTTTTATATAAACTCATTATCAATAATATTATAAATAATTAATTCAGTTATAGAGTTCAAAGAAGAAGTAACTTTATTTAATAATACAACGGGTTTGCACCTAGTATATTGAGCTTTTTGGGCTTTGATAAGAGTGCGATAGAGAGCAAGAAGTTGGCCCTGGCCGACAGATAACTCTGGATACGACGCGAGAGGTTTATCGAGAATCGGGTGGTAGTTGTATAGTATGCTGTCTGATGCTGTTCCCGAGAGATTGTCTATTCCGGCTGCGCCTTGCAGAAAGGACTTAAAGCTCTGTTCTTTTTAGCAAGGCAATTAAAGTTTCATTGAATAATAAAGCATTTGGATCTAAGTTGAACCATAAGGTTTTATTTGATAATAATAATGAATCTTGTGAGACGGTGATAAAACAGTATTATCAAGCCTGACTTTCTTAATATCAATATTATTGAGTATAATCTAATCAGATTGTAATTCAAGAAGTTATAGGAGTATTAAAAAAAATACTTTTGTTACTAATTTGAACATTAGTTTATAATAAATTTGGTAAGATAAAATCACGAATCTATCTATATGTCCATAAATAATAATTTTCTGATTTGAAATGATATTTAGATTTAGGTTTCTGAGAGCTACTGAATTGGATTTAAATATTGATTTTATTAGCTAGTAGATTTAAGGCTTCATTAGAGCTACATACAGGTAGAATACAGTGATATTTTTAAACTCAATATTTCCTTTCGATAACCACAATTCCATAGGCTCCAAGATCTAAGCTATTCCATTCTCGAAAGATATTATATTTTCAAATGTCTTTAAATAAACAATTATTCTAAAAGAGATTTCTAATATTATTTAGCTTTCTATAAATTTCAATAAAATTATATTTACTATAAGTATAATATTAAATGCAATTCTAATTTATATATTATTAATATAATTGTAATATACTATAGTTAAAATAATAATATTAATTATAATAATAATTATTAAAAGATTCAAAATTATATTAAATTATTTCTAGAAATATAAAAGAAGAAATTCGGGATATTGAGTATTATCCATATTTGCAATATTATCCTCTATTACTACATCTGACCAGCCAAATGAGCGTGTTGTTTCGAGACCCTCAATTTGCAATTGTTAGCAAGAGGAAGATCCATTGTACAAAGTTCATATATATAGATTCTAAGAAACTCGAGAAAACTCCTGCTCTAGCCTCCAGCTCTAGAAAACAAAGTTGTCTAAAGATACGGAGATATACTTTTTAGATAATGTAAATAATAAGCATATAAGCTAATAGGAATACTATAAGTTATTTCTAAATAATGAAAAATAATATAATTTATATTAAAAGCTTAAAGATTTCTATATTTATTAGAATACTTTAAATGATTTAGGAATAAAAGATTTGATAATAGTCTTACGAGTTATAATGATTTGGAGGGCTAATGACAATTACTTGTCTACTAACTGGATATCTTGACTGAACCTATTCAAGATAGAACCATTGCCGGTCTGAAAGAAAAATGATAAAGATACACTAATAATTATCAGTTTCTATTGTATTATCCCATCATTTTTTATAGAAAAAAGACACTAACCTTGTTACAATATATAACAGTCATTTGTGTATTCAGAATTCAAATTACAATACCAATTATATAAAAACAACCCTAGAATATATTTAATAACTATAAGCTTATAGAATTTTGTAGGGAACTTACTATATCTAAATATTTGTTATAATTCATAATATAAATAATAAAAACAAAAATCGAAGAATTTAAAATAATATATTTCCACTATTTGATTTAATTCAAAATTATAAATAATATTAGAGAATAATAATGAAAAAGATATATATTACTATATAAATAATAAAAAGAAAAAAATTCTTTAAACCAATAAAGTTTAGATAATATCCTATACTTATGTTAATATTTTTTTTAATATTATTGAAAAAGGAAGAGACTTACCATATAAAACCGAGTCTCCATTTTGTTTTATAAGATTAATTTTAGCTTCATTTTTTATACAAATTTAAATATTAAGTTTTGCAAAAGCTATTATTATTATAGTATTATCTTTAATATAATTTACAGAAAAGAATTTTGCTATTAACCTAACTTTGTTTTTAATACTTTATCAATTACCTTAATCTATAATCCTATAATTTCTTAGAATAATAATATAATCCGCTTTTTCGAAATACTGAACTATTCTACAATAAGAACTTAGATTAATATAAAGCTAAAAGAAATTTATTAGAATTAAAAATTAGTATGATAGTAATTTTCAATTATTTTATTAGACCATTAAATCCAAATAAATTTTTAAATATAATTTGCTTAATATTTTTATTTAATTCACTAAAAATATTATTTAGCAATAATATATCCGATCTTGAGAATAATGCGCATATAAGTGTCTACCATTGTTAGTTTAATATATATCTACCTTATCATTTTTGAAAACATAATACACACTGTCTTTAGCCTTCAGATAAATTAAATCCTCTACTATCAATTTATATCTGATTCTTATTTGATAAGATATCGAAATTATAAGTGAAACAGTACATTTCTGTATTAATATTATATCATTTATTATTATTTTAATTAATAATATCATTAATATTATTAGCATGATAAATAATCTCTTTAATACTATCACTTAATAGCTAAAATCTTTGAATATAATATACTATCTTTTTTGTTAATAAAACAATTAATTCCCGAATAAATATTACTTTTTTAATTATAATATATAATATAATTAATTTACCCCTACTAATAAAACCCGAGATTATTATAAAAGATATTATGTGCACTTCAATATTGATATTATCAAGAATTGTCTATTTTTCACTTATTCTCAATTATTGAATCTGAATTATAAGATTAAACCTTATGGAATGACTGGATATTACTTCACTTTGAGTGAATCTTAATAGTACTTCATGATTCTTTTATAAAGATGAGGGGAGCAAAAACAATTGAATTCTTTCAAATCTAGTAAAAGCTGTTATTATATATAATATAATTATTATAATCATATTTACTGAATAGATAATTATACTCAAAATTACTATAATTGGAAATATAGTTATTAGATTGAGCTTAATTTTATTAGTTTGTAATATAATAGCAAATAGAATTAGTGTAATTGCTGGGGAAAATATTCCTAGTGTGTTGATTGAATTCTCATTAGTTTAATATAAGTATTAGAATTTCTATATCGCTATTTATTAACTAGATGCATTGTAGTATATCATGACCCATTAAAGTTTTGAAGCCACTTATAACTCTTCTTTTCGTAATTATTGTACTTGATAAATAAGATTATATTAAAGCCTAATTATTTTAATAATCTTTATGGAATTTATTAATAAACTTATAGCTTTTATACAATTTTGTATTACTACGTTTCAAGCTTTTTGATAAGATTATAAATATTTTATAATAAATCAATTTATATATGAACATATTACTAACTTAATATTATATTAAGAGATTAAATTGTATTACTAATAATAAATAAGAAAAAGTAAAAGAGACCATATTCAGTCAATTTGGATAGTGAAAAACTCTATATTTATAAAAACTCTAATAACTTGAGTCTATATTTTATGAATCATTTTGACAATTCTATTTAAACTATTTGTATTTATATTTATAAATGTAATCACCTTGTTATTATTATAAGCAATACTAGAAGGCTCTATAATCTTTACATAAATTAATCCTATAAAAGCTTTTTTTATAATAAGCTTCAATCTATTTATGTAGTGTTAATATACAGTTATTAATAACTAAGTCAATTAGTATATATTAAAAGAACAAAAATTAACACTTATAGTAAGATTAATATAAATAGCTACAACCAACATAACAAGCTAAAAACCATAATTACTTTTTTCTTCAATAGGATATATCATAATATATTTAATAAACTCTTTTATTAGGAAAATCTGAGAATATTAAAAGATAATCAAAAATAGTTATAGTATAATAACAGCTCAAAATGAATACTTCAAGTATTTTATTAATATAAAAAATAAGTTATACTTTATTTCAAACTTAGCTAGTTTTATAAGAATAAAAAAAAATTATTTTAAATCTTTTAACTAATTTTAATAAAATTAGATTTAAAGTATTATTTTTCTTATAAACTCTAACTTTATATTTTAATTAAAAAATAACAGATTTTGATTAATAAGAATATTCATATATTCTTGAATTAAAATAAAATTTATTTAAATATATAATATTCTGTTAAGTATTTTATATAATTCTTTTAGGGATTGAAGATTATAAGAGTTATTAAAAGAAAATTGTTTATTATAATTTTTGAGTATTAAAAGAATTAAATATATAATATATTGAGTAAATATTAATTATAAAGCTTTAAATAATATATGAATTTTTGATAATATTATAAGAAAAAGAATATTATATATAATTGATGGCACAAGATAAAGAATAGCTAAATCTTATGGTTTTAGAAATTGTTTGTTTTTAAACACCAAAAGCAAACTTAGGCCAAATATAGTATCTACTAAAACTAATAAAGAAACAATGAGAAATACTTTATACTTTATATTCATTATAACAACATAAACTAACAGAAAAAAAGATAATAGTATTACAAGGGTCTATGGTTATTATTAATATTATTTATAAATTATAGAAAGAATATCAGTATTAACTACTTCTGAGCAATCTTATTATTACAAGCCATTTTTTGCATAAAAATTATAAAGTTTTCAAAATCTGGTTGACAAGGATATAACAAATCCTATGGTATATATCATAGATATAAAATTAATCATGTCTGTAGACTTTACAATATTGTCTTGCGAGATGTGCTTTATGAGAGTAGGTTCGAAATGTAAGGCATTCTGGTGTCGAAAGAAATTCATGATGAGCAAATATCCCTTGTACTCAGTCGACTTGTAACCTGATGGTGATGAGGAAGAACAAGGTTAAAGCGCGCCAGAGGAGCTTCACGGCTAGAGAAGGTTTGAAGAATTCCACATAGCAAGTTGTTTTGTTGATGTAGTACGAGTATCAATCTGCTTATTTGGCTATGCCACATCAAGTAAGGCCTTCTCGGAATCCGCCTCAATACTACAGAGTGCTCTCCCCTCTTACCAGATAAGCTATGAAACCTCAATCAATGCTACGAAAGTAATCGTGCAGCCTAGGTCCACTTAATTCGTGCACATCCCTTGACAGCTTACGGCTTGGTGACCAGATGCGAATCGGAGACTATGCGTTTCAGGTGTAAGCATGCAGAAAGATAAATCGTTTGGGCGACCTGAATCTGAAGATCATTCCTTTTGAAGGCGTCCTTCTTCATTGTGTACAACCATGGACCACCACTGGTGGACGGAAGTATATGCTCTAATTTTGGTCTCGCCGCCTTTAGTCTCTGGTAGACCAACTAGATCGTTTTGCCCATACATTTCGACCAAAAAGTATAAGGCGGCGAGACCAACATTAGAGCATATACTTCCGTCCTAGTTGTTACATTTCAGCTCTCATTATCGCCTATATTTGATGTAGAAGTGGGATTCGATTTCGAAATATATCCTTAAGTAATGAATGAATTATATAAGACTTTTCCTAAAGTAATGATGTAATTATATAAACAGTCCCTATATAGGTAGGGAATGATATTAAGTCATATGCCTAATATAGTAAGATCTAGCGAGTGTGCTAGGCTAGGCTCGTACTTTGTTGTATAGATAGGTA